AACACGGACTTTGGTAATCCGTGTTCCTTTCGTAATTAAGGGAACACGGATTTTGGTGATCCGTGTTCGTTGTAAAATTACAGTTACACGGATTCGCAGAATCCGTGTTTCGTCTAAACACGGATTGTGAGAATCCGTCCGTTTGATTTTTTTCCACAATTTTTTTTTTTTGTTTTATTTTATTCCACTTATTTTTTATTTTTTTTAAATAAATAAATGATTCTGAGGAGGGACGCTGGTGTATGGATAATTTATAATAATTACAATAAGGTCCCCTTTTTATTTAGGCTTAATTATGTTGGCTCGGCTTTTGATGCTTAGGCTTAATTAATTATATTCAAATCAGCTAATCTAAGTATGCTAGGCGATTTTCTATGCTTGAACAGCGGCGTGCAAGCTGGTGTTTGTGATGTTAGTTAATGGGCAATGCTATATGTACACCCCTTTTTAATAAATTACACAAAGGGCAATGCTATATGTACACCCCTTTTTTACACACAAGGGGGTGTACATATAGACACCCCCTAGTTAATTTAATTAAATAATTATTTGTAGACTTTGTTGAGTGGTGACTGCTTTTAATTATTGCGATTACTTATATATTATTCCAGAAATTGTGGGAGACAGAGACTTTTATTGCTTTTATGGCCAATTGAATATGTAGGATACACTTCAATTCCACCGACAAAAATTTTTGTTGGAAGTTTTAATGAATATTCAAACAAACTTAACTTTATGTTAGAATAAGTGTTGGATGATTGAGGAATTTCAACGGATTTTTTTTGCTGGAATAGCTGTAGGAATTTATTTTCATAAGATTTTCCGTTGGATTTTAGCTATTCCAACAGCCATTTTTCTCATGAATTTTTATACGTAGGAATATCTGTTGGAATAGTTATTCCAACGGAAACTATAAAGAATTACAACGTAAAATTTCCGTTGGAATGTAAGATTTTTTTTTTTGTAGTGATATATTCTAACCTTAATTTTTTATTTTTACTTTTGGTTTAGCCAATCAAATTTGTCTCAAAACCATATCTAGTCAATCCTTGTTCACGTGTTAATCAGAAATTTTACGTGACACTTATGAGGCTTGTGTGACATCAATTTTTGAACCTGTTCACCATGTTTTTGCCACGTCATGTGCCAACAAATTAAAAATAATTAGAATTTAATACCAATTGGAAAATAGGATTATATCACCATATTTTTTACTTCATAATCTTCATAAAAATTGAATTTTTCTCCGTCAATTAAAAAAAAAACAAATAAATATTTGTAGCCCTTTTTTTCTTCTACATAGCGCTGATTCTTCACCCCATAAATAGAGTTCACACCCAACATTTTGAATACATTAATCGCACTTACACAAAAATTAAAGATTTTTCCTGCACCAAAAAAAATTAAAAAATTAAAGATTTTGTGTGTAATTAAACCTTAATTATATAATAGTATTAATTTAAGTAGTCTTCAGTGCATACAATTCGCTTTCCTTGATTACGAGAAAAAAAAAATCATTTTTTTTAATTTTAACATTTAAGATTTTAAAATACGTACTTGATAGGTAAGCAAGATCCTGCCGCGTGAACTAAGAATTAAATCCATCACTAAATATATGAATCATATGACAAAACACCTTAAAGTCTTATTCCGGAATCAAATCAATTTATTTTAGATTGACGATTCAAATTTTTTAATATAGCTTTCTTGATTTCTCCCATGTTACCACGGACTCGTGACTTTTAGACCATCTTTATCCTCGACCCAATTCAACTTAATTTAATAATTAAAAATTATTTTTCTCTCCTCTACATACACAACTCAATCTTCCAACTTAATTAATTCATTTTTTTGTTGATTTTTCTAGCCTGGCCTTAATCGAGCTACTCTCTCAGACCGGTGTGTTAAGTTTCTTATGAGTCTTACATTAGAGGAGAAGAGGTAAATCGAGCTCAGCCATCCGATATAGGTCAATATGGAGGGCCAAGATTAAAAGTTGAGATATCAAAGGGTGGTCGAGTAGGACCGTCAGATCAAAGCATAATTGGATGGATGAGATTAAAAAGGTGAGTTGAAAATGTAGGTAAATTTAGACCGTTGGATGAAGACGTAATCGGGTGGATAGAAGCTAAGAAGTTGTTTGAAGAGAAAACGACAATCAAAGCTAACACGTCGGTTGGATGTGGCGTCAAGGTGATCAGATTGACCTGACAAGGTGTCAAAATTTTAAATTTGGAATTTTCAATTTTGAATTCAAAACCTCGTGCTTAGGTTGAGTGAATTATTTTTAAAAATGAAAAAAAAAAGAGTGAGTGGGAAGGTCGGTTAGACAAATAGCAAGCTCAATAAACACTATTAAAAAAACAATCGACCTTAATCTTAGACTGAGTTATCCCAACTCGACCAAAGTGTGGGTGACCAGATGATATAGAATACCATACCAGATCCAGTACGGCCTAGAGAACTGAGTAGATCGGCAAGTCGATCGGACCCAAGGGCACCTGAGGTTTTTTTTTTTTTTTTCTCAGAAGAAAAGGCACTCACTAACAAGTCGACCTAGGGCTCGCGATTAGCCCGATAGAAACTCTACTCTAAGGGAATTAGGTCGATAGCATGACCTAAGAGGTAAAGCTTACGCGTTCAAGGTCGAAGTAACTTGGTTCAATTGAAGTTGAGCATGTCGCACAGTTAGACTGTCTAATAAGATAGACTAAATGTGTATACATTAATTGAGATATAAGAAAGAATATTGTTAGTTACACGTGGATACTAGCATAACAACTTCGTGCAGTTTGGGCACCCGGGCAGCAAAAACAGGTAGCTTGGGGAGCCCAACCGAATAATCTTAGAAAATAAGGTAATACTCCTATATAAAGGAATTGGCCAGGTATGACTATGCCTACTCTACATGGTATTATATACTTACAAGCTATGTAGTTATTGTTCATCGTTTTCTTTATACATATTCTGACTTGATCGTCGAGGGTCTACTCCGAAACCACTCTCGTTGTTGTTTTGCATGTCTATTGAAGCGGTTGATGGCGGATTCAAGGTCGAAAGAACCCGTCGAGGTCGTTTACACACCAGTTTGATTATTATTTTTACAAGTTAAATTTTTTATACTAATCAATTCAATGTATAATTTTACACGAATTAAACTAAATTAAATGAAAACTTATAGAATAACCAAGAGAAAATGTAATAGTCGAGCGAGAATGTGCAATTCAATATTTATTTTAGATTGAATTATGTTGGACATAAAATTTTTAACTCAAATTTCAATTCAAATCTAATCCGACTTTCACTCACATAAATGTTAACAATATAATTAAATAATATCAATCAGTCATTTCTGTACATTTTTCTACAAAATTCACCATTTCTTTACTCACATAAATCTAACTATCAATCAGTATTTTATTAATTTTATATCAATTAGTTTTACTCAATGTTATATTTTTATCCCTATACATTCATAAATTTTAAATCAAATCCAAGTCTCTACTCAATGTTTTCTTTTTCTTTTTTCAAATTAAATTCATTTATTTAAATTAATTTCAAATTAAAATAAAAAAAAAAACATTTCCAATCTCACAGAGTTGCTTTCCTGATTAACTTCCTTCAATAATGCACCAAAATTTAAATAAATAAATAAACTAAAGAAAGATAAGTGTACACGGGTAGTGAG